GCAAAGGGCTTGGGCTCTTTGTACACTGTCATTCCAGCAGCCGCCTCAAAGCTTGGGGATGCCCAGAGTTGCCTATGAGCAATAAGCAATTGCTCACAAGCACTTTTTTGGTCTTTTTTATTTTTAATGACAGCTTCTCCCTGTGCTCATCTGGACAGTGTTCAGAGGACAGCAGGACCCTGTACATGGCAGTGTGGCTGGCAGCGCTGCGACTGAGCCAGGCTCTCTTGGCCCGTCCTGCCTGGTGGAGCAAGAAGGGAAGGAGCCAAAGTCCAGCTCAGGTGTGAGCAGCTGGAGGCAGGAATACACACAATGAGAGGAAACGGGGTACATCGCCTTTGCAAAACAAAATAAACAACACATTTGGAAAAAAAAAAGGCCCCCAAAAACCAACTTGGACAAAATCCTTTCCTTCCCCCAGCAACAGTGGGTTGCAGAGGCTGAAGTGTTTTCACACTGAAAGCATGGCAGCTTGGGAGCTTTCTCTACAGTCTACAAATAAACAAAACCCAGGGAGTGTTTTGCATTCAATAGTTAATCACAGTTGGCTGAGTGTTTATATTTTTCTTCACTGTAAAGGCATTCTTGGTCCGCCTCCCAAACAGCTTGTTTTGTCTGCGAGATTTAATCTTGAGTGGCAGGACTAGGCGCAAAGACAAACCTCAAAACAATTCTTATTTTTCTATAGCTAGATGTCAGAATGTAAAAGCTAACTTCCCTGCAAACGGCCCCTCAGATTGGCATGCAGGGGGCTTTGCTCTACAGTTTTCAGACTGCCCTGATAGGGTGGTCCATGGAGCATCTCATTACACTCGCTTTTAACTCTTTCCTGTTTGTGGGCTGCTCTTTTAATAGTCTAAACAACTCCAAACAACTAGAATTCAATGCACGTTGGACCAGTTTCCAGGCCTAGCTCCTCCCTGAAGAAGCATCTTGTTTGTATACAGGGAGCATTGGCTCCAGATGCCCAGCCTACTTTCAAATCCAAACATGGTTTTTCTTCAAGGCAACATCAAGGTACCTTTCATAAAAATGAAGGGATGATGCAATATGTCTATAGTGCTTCAAGTACTCAAGCTGCTCTGCTCAGGATTAGCTTAGGCAGTTACTTAAAAGCATCATGTTGTATAGGTATCAGCCACATTTTTGCAGCCGTTCCTACTAACATGCGTGACTTGAAAAGACACTGAATTTATGTCTTTGCACTTCTAAGATCTAAAAATGGTTAGAAACAGTGAACTTCTGAAATCTCACCACTTCTGCTCTTCATTTTGTTTCTATGTGCTATTGCCTCTGAACAATCTTTAGAGGTAGGTAATATCAGACTGTGCTTGGTTGTGCTTAGATCTGTACCACAGGTTTAAAAAAAGTTAATAAAATCACGTCCAAGTTGCCTGAAAGGTATGTCTGTAGGTCATTTAGTCCAACCTTTTGCTTGAAGCAGGACTATCACCAGTTCCTAGATGAGGACTGTCATGGCTTTGCCTACTTGTGTCTCATAAATCTCCAGGATACCAAGCCCAGGGCAGAGAGCATTTCCACCAAGAGGACCCAATCCAGCAGTGGAAGAGGCGCCCCTGGAGATTTGTGCTTTTGATGGTATTGCTTCTGGAGGAAGAATTTTTGTTAAAGGTCTTCCCCATAAACATAATCTGACAGAGCCTGAACCAAGGAGTCATGAAACACCCTGCAAATTTATTTCAACAGCTTCTTGCAGCTCCCCTAATCCTGTGTATGTAACACTAGACATAGGTATACACTTTTGATGTTTCTTTCCCATATAATCAGTAAAAATTATTAGCAAAGATGGGGGCTGTACAATTAATGTGTTAAGAGATGCTGGTAACCTCCAGCACCTTCTGAGAATTTTCTAACTTCAAGTATATGACCTGTGTCTTGAGCCTGCTTCAAGGTATCTTGAGCAGAAAAGATAAATAACAGTTCGCAAAGCATAGATAATGTGGGGAGCCTTTTTCCAGAGTATACCACAGTGCCGAATACACGTTCAATTTTAAGAAGGGCCAAATAATCCCATGACCCATTTTTAAAACACCATAATAAAAGTAATGCTAAATTCAACAAAATGGCCATTGCAAATGCAGAGGAAATACTCCTGTCATCCATAAAAGCATGACAAATCAAATGATTAGATTATTTTGCAATCTCTCTTATAAAGTACCCCGGCACCAGGTAATGCCAGACGCAGGGAATCGGATTCAACCGAGCGGTGTCCTGAAAGACACCACCTCCTCTTCGAACCAGGCACCTCTGAGTGTTGTTTGCAGCCTTGCTTTGAAAAGCCTTTTCCTCATGAGCAGGCATTTACCCAGCTTTGCATGAGCAATCCATGTCAGTACTGAACACCCATCCACTGGAAGAGAGGAAGGCAGGATCAAGTTGTGGGGGTTTTTCATGCAACCTGCCCATAATTAGCCTCAAGCAGTGGCTGAGTCACTCACAAGAGTCCCAGGTGCTATTAGGACCAGACACGCCACGGCCCAGTGTATAATTATACCAGCCTCCACTGTGCGGAAACTGCTCCATTTAGCTATCTGACCCCATTAGACAGAAGCTGTTATTTCTTCTTGGCTACCAGTGCTGTAGGTGCTCTGAAGAAAATGAGTCCAATTCTCACAGCACAAAGTCATTCACCCAAACTCACCTCCTTGTTGCTGAAACCAGAAGATGCTGTCCTCTTTCCTGGTTCACCTGTCGGCTGCCTGAGAGCACCCCTATGGTCCAGAGGCAAACAGAGATTTTAAGACACAGCACCTACTGAATATGAGGGACAGGGAGATGAGTGCAGACAGTCTAGGCAAAGCATCATGCTACAGTATATTTTTTCACCAGAGAGCGATGATGAAACAACCACTGAAACAAGCCACAGAACTGAAGGAATGCAAGAAACAAGCTATTTCTATAATACAGATTCTATTTTGGACATTTTGCTTCCCCTTCTCATAATGAGGATAGAAAAGTTCAGATGAGAAGCTTATTGCTGACAGCCCCTGAACCTTTTACGTGCCCCTAGGGCTGGAGATGCAAGTTTTCTGCAGTGTCCACTCTCTGGTAGAACAGAGGCAGCTGAATAGAGAGCAGGTTTGGTTGGCCAAAACACACAAGAAATCACCCATAGCTGGCAGGGCTATACTTGAGTTGCAGCTGGATTTCGCAGCTCTCCTTTTCCTATTTAAAGCATTAAGAGGAAATGCCTGGCTTCAGCAGCAGCAGGGTGGCATTCCCCTCTGGCCCAGCTCCTCTGTTGGATACAAAAATGAACCCAGCCCTAGCTGATAAGCAACCAAAGCCCATTACCTCCTGTAGCCATGGTCTCACGGAGAGGGAGCGAGGGGGACCTAGGTAGTGGAGGAGGCTACGTACAGCAACTGACCCAGCAGAGGCCGTTTCACTAGCCCTCTGAGGAAAAGCATAAAAAAGGTCAGAGTTTTTGTCACTCCTGGTTGGCATCCTGTCAGACCAAGTTCAAATGAGGTTCGCTGGGGGTGTGTGTGTGTGATGCTTGGGCTACTACTGACTGTGCAGTTCAGAGAAGAAATTGCACTGCTCCAACCTTGAGCTGCTACTCTCATGGCAGTGCTACAACCCCTTCGAAAGGCACAAATAGCCTCGATGGCTCTGATTTTTAAAAAAGTACTAAAAAGCTTTTGCTGAAAGGGACAGCAGAATAAAGGAAACGAGATGTCAAATTATAATCAGCTTGAATCATTTCAAATAAACACCGAGGAAATAAAATGTACCCTGTTTGCTGGCAGGCTTGATGGCTTACAAAGTACTCGCCCCACCCAAATCAAGGGTTTGAAATGGAGTGGCAGTGGAACAGAAACCCCTGATAGCAGATTTGCTTTTCCCTGGTACTGCACTGCTATCCTCAGGGATAGAAAAAGCATCATTAGGGTTTAAATAGAATTTGATGAAAACACGGAGCACCCCAAGGATCAATTTTCACCATGGGCAGCTGCAGCACGAGGCATTAATTCTTCACCCTCTCTGGTGACAGGAGAAACGTGGGGAACTGTAGGCACAAATAACGTTAGACTTCTACTGTGTATTTTGCTTTTCATGCCTGCAATTAAACGCTTGCTTTACTTCCTGTTGTTTAAAACTGTATTTATTCTTTAGCACTGCAAGAAAAACCTCCTGTATTTTTTTCAATTTGCACTGGGGACGCGTTTGAAGGCCCATATTGTAGACTCAGCAAGTGGCAGGGCAGCCGCCAAACCTTGCTTCCTTTGTTGATTTCTTGATGATTTAAGACCTATTTTCAGCAGCTGATCCCAGTCTCCCCCCTGCCTTTTTGCTTGGTAACTACCATTTTAACAAAATGGTGTTTGTGCAGTGCCTTGGAACCAAGAACTGAGCTTTTAAATGTAAGACAAGGAATAGAATAGTAAAAGCGGCGCTAAAATCACCTACACGCCATGGCTTTTCAAGCCCCATGCTTAGGAATATATGGCAGACCCCTTGAGTTCTTGCAGAATAGTATTTAGACTGCTAGTCTTTTATTTCATATGTAGCTAAAATTATTTGCATGTTTCACATACTTGTGTTGTTTATCTTCCCCCCGCACAAAGTTTGAAATTATTCTCTGAATCTACAGAAATTGGTAAATAAAAAATATTAAAAAAAGCTGTACTGTTGATGTATATTGTTCAGACTTTTACTGGCTTTTCCCATAGGGACAAACCCTATTGTCTCAAAGTACAAACAGGAAAAGATATAGCCTGATCAATGGTTTATTTAGATGCAGGCTTCCTTCAGAAAAGGAGAATACGCTTTACCCCTGGCTGATGCTAAGATGCAAATTAAACCAAGATTTTGTGCAAAAAAGTTATCCAATGCCATCTGCATGATTTTCCTCTCTGTTCTGGGTAACAACAGTCTTTCCTCAGAATTATTCTGTGGTGGAGAATACAATACTTGGCTTAATAAATAAAACCCAGTTTCTACTGATTATTTTTACAGCAAATAATTCTATGTTTAATGCAGGCTCATAAGATGCCAAAATATACCTTGCTGCTTTGTTAAAACATAAACCTCAAGCTTGCTAAAAATAGCAGTAACTAATAAGGATGAAACAAAATTGTCCCAGAACATTACAGACACCTGAAAACAAAAACTGAACAGAAGATGACTTAAGGGATTTTCAGTAACATTTAAGAAGTAAGTGTAACCTTTAGGTTTAATGAGCGTTACAATACATCAATTACAGAGACATAAATAATTTAGAAGAGTGTTCACTGGCAGTCAGTTTGGTCACAGACTTGATTTGCTTCACAGGGCAGGGACAGCACCCTGTAATTAACAGTCGTGGTCAGAAGCTGTGTCCAAAGATTGTAACCTCCTTGCAGTATGCCCTTCTCACAAGGCTGGAAAGGTGAGGAACTCCCCTCCCCTGCTGACAGAGGACTTACGCCTCATGTATCGCTGCTGCACAGACATGGTATTAGGAATGTCTTTCAGACCTGCAGAGGTGACCCTCATGTTCTACTATGGGTTTCTACTGCCTGCTGCTTCTCTGGTCATTAAGGGTACTGACACAGAATGATGTCTAAGCAGCAGTCCCTACTCACTACTTAAAAGGTTTTTCACCTCTGCTAAACCCCCGGCCTTGTATTAGGGGGCACTGCCTGATGGAGACTACCCAGACTTATTCCCCTCTTTCCTAGTCTCTGTGTAAAACCACCTGAAGTTAGACTTAAGGTACTGTACTTCATTGCTTAATCTCGTCTCCCAACTGATTCACCAAAGATGCTTATTGCTGCAAGTGCCAGACAGGATGAGAGAAAGGAAACACACAGAGAAACATACCTAGTGAGGATCTAACGATGCGTAGGAGATCTGTGCTAATTCTAGCAATGATTTTCTCTCAAAAACTGAATCAAGTCTACTTCATATATGAATGGGAGTATGTTCAAGGACACGGCTGATACTGAAAACGCTGCTGATTCACCAAACAAAATGTGATCAATGAAGTGATGACCAGCACAACAGAAAGATCAATGAATGCCAAACTATGTAAGATATAGTTAACTTTTATTTATTCTTTCAACTGTTTGTCCAGTCTTTCCAGCAAGTTCACAAAAAGTCGAACTTTGATTCTGAAAGTTTTTCTATTACTTCTAGCACAGTGGATTACATATGCAGATGAATAAAGGCTTGACTGTAAGTTTGTACTTTAAGGACCTTTGGAAAAGGTCTTAATGGGACTTAATAATTTGAGACTTACTGCATTCTTTCATTCAAAATTATGACAAGAGTAGAATTTAGGCTTTTCAATATGTTTGTAACATTGCTATTTTTTTCTTATGTTTTGTGGTTCTCATCAACCAAAGAAACTAGTCTAGGTCTGATTGCTCCTTTCAATTGCATATATCACATAACAGGAAAGAAAGCTTAATTGCCATTAAGCTGGCCACAATGGATACTACTATCATGAAACAGGAGATAACAGAAATAACTTAAACTTATTAGCTTACAACTTCTGTGACCAACCTAAATGCCTTCAACAAATACTTGATTCGATGTTATATTATTCAAACTAACTCTCTTTTCTGATGTAGTTTTGTATGGTAATCCTTCTGGAGAGAAGAGTTTATTCATTTCCATGTTTTCCCTCCCAATACCCCATTTGTAGTGCTAACACCCCCAGTACATTCTTCTGAAAACTATCAGGAAGGACTTCATAAAATGCTGTGCAGGTCAATGAGGGCAAGGTGGCTTTGAAATAAAGAAAATGTTCAGTGAGTGTAAGAAAAATTCCTTTTCTTCTAAAAATTGATAGGCTTGCAGACTTAAACACAAACAGTTCAGTTTCTAAACTTTTCAACATTTTTTTTCTCCCCAAATACTACCGGTTGTACCATGATGCAAAATTAGACTGAAACCATTGTTTCATTTCCATATATGCAAGTGAGAAGTTGATGAAACTACTGAATTCAACATAAGGTTAGATCCTCAAAGTCTTTGCTTACATGGCTTCTAAAACTCTTAGACCTTTAATAATAAAGCAGTCCTTTGTCCAAAATTACAAAAGGACTGCTGTGAAGGATGCATTTCTGGTTGAAAATCTATATTAATTCTTAAGAGTGGACATCTTTTTGAAACATTTTGCAATTGCTAGCCTTTGGATCATGGTAACCTCTGAAAAGATAAAAAAAATATTGGTGCCACTTGGACAATCAGGTATACAAAGCAACCACCATGTTCACGAGGCAATCACTACAACACTGAAGCAAACACAAGGGTATAAAACACAAGATTCCAGGAATCTGCTGATGCAAATGAGTTTGGTTTTTACCTTTTGAAGATGCCAGAGATGATTTCTATCAGATTTGATCACTATGAGAACAAATGTCTTCCGTTAGCCCTCCTCCTTCTCCCACCCCGTTCACCAGAGTTAGCTTATCCAAAGAAATGCCGATGTGAGATCATCCTGGTATACTGAATAATGTGTTTTGAGTCATTTAAGGTTGTTCAGTTATGGTTTTGCTGTTCACATAAAACCATTATTCTCCACATCTGCTGTAAGTCTTGATTTGCATGCAAAAGCCTAATGCAATGCCTCCACAGAGGGAATTCAGGCTCAGACCTTTGGAGCCATTTACAGCCCTCAGATAATGCAGAGAGAGTCACAAGGGGGTAGGTCACAGGACAGAAAATGCCCCCTCCTCCATAGATTTGCAGTAAGGCTTCTGATTTTGTTTGCAGCTTAATTTCCAGCCAAGAACTTCAATATTAAACATAAACTAAAATTTTGCCTATAAACTAGCTAAAAATACCTGTAGTTTCTAGAGGCAAATTATTTGCATAATTCTTAATTATTAAGCTTCACTGCTCAAAACCCATCTACACTTTCTAGGTGGACATTCCCCTGGAAAGCACTATTTTAAATGCAAAATAACAAGTTTTAGAAAGGATAGGAGAATACTGCCAATCAAGTAATTTGATGAGATTTCATTGCATAAGCAGATAGTTGTGCTATGGTGAATAATTTAAAATTAAATGTTTTTCAGTGCCACTGTATCATCTGCATACTATTCATTTGGTTCCTTATATTTAGCAGAAGTAGGGCACATTTTCCATATGCCATTTATAAGGAACATACACTGTTAATTTTATTCCTTACTGGAAAGTACCCTGGTCTATTTACAAATTAATTTGGGAAGTGACATCGTGACAGTTAGCCCCAACTGGTGCGCCTGACACAAGCGTGAAAGAAAGGATGAATAGGTGGGATTTTGCATTTGGCATTTCAGAACTAGGGGAGGTAATGCTTCCAGTTATATATACTTAAAATTATTTCTGAGAAGACATGTTGAACTTAAGCATTAAGGTAAATACCTATAGCCATACACTATTTCATCAGGTATTTTCCAAGACATTATTAATTCCTTTGTTGAAAGTTTGCTTCTTAGAAGTATTTATCTTACTTGGAAAAATTACAGGTCTATGAAAGAGCTTTATTTTGTTATACTGATGCATACAATTAGTTTCTTGTGCATTGGTACTAAAGAAGTAGAATTTCATCATAATGGAAAGGGGAGTTCTTCAGAAAAACACCAAAATTGTACAACTAGAAATAAAAACAAAGCATAAAAGCACAGCATTTCATATAAGATGAGCTTTCAATTGAAATATTAAAAAAAAATTGCCAACACCCTGCCATATTAATATCAGACCAACTTGAAAGGCACTGAGATTTGAACTGTGCAACTCATATCCATACCTGTGAGAATAACAACCACAATGAGACGCAAACCTCCAAGGTAGAATATGGCACTGTACAGTCCATTAGGCATTCCTGGTACATACGGCAGTTTTGTATTTTCTTAGGATAAGCTGGAAATGTTAACTAAATATACAAATGACATCATATTTCTGTGGAAAAAAAAATCCAATTGACACCATCTGAAGGCAAGGAAACAAGGCATAATATAAAGGACATTGTTGGCACAAAAAATACTATCACATCAAAACACGCCCTTTTAAATTTAATCCAGTAGATATACAAAATGAATATCAGGATGAATATCAAATATTCAGTTTTAAGCATGCTAGTGAGGTCTTTGTTTTAGAAATCTGACAAAACCTGAAGCTACCAAAACCATTTCAGAGGCAAGAAAGCACCTATCAAGAGAATCCAACCCATTTCCAGGCTTTCTTCTTGTGGGCTGACATGTGCAGACTGAAGGATCTGTCCAGTATCATCTCTGTGCCTGAGGCTGCCTAAAGCTTCCCATTAGCAAATGCTGCCTCCTGGAACTGAGGGACAAACGTTTTGAAATATGCCCTAAAGAAAAAAAAGAAAATGCATGGTTAGGAAGGGGTAAACTTAGAACATGCTGTGTGCATGTATGTAGCCAAGGTTTTAACAGAGAAGCATAATGTTACCATGCTCAATCCATTATTAGATCTCATAAATGGGTAGTGTTTTTCTTACTAGCATGCAGCAGATCTGTACACTTCAGCCTTCTAGACCCAGCAGAGCTTCTTTCTTCAGTGTTCTCACCACTAACCTCTTAATGTGGTCAACATCAATAACTTAACACTGTCAGAAGAGCCTGATGGACTATCTATATTTTATTCAATGCAGAGATCCAGAGATAAACTGTATCACGCACTGGAAAATAAACCTCTGAACAGCTGTAAAAGTGAGAAACACTTAGATGAGCCACAAGTGTGGCCATGCCACCAACCACAGCATTTTATAACTGGGAATTTTTGATGCAGTTGATGTTCACCATGTTGCGGGGAAAAAAAGTTTGTTTTTTTTTTTCCCCCCTATCTTGAAGAAAGCTTCACATATGGAACCAAAGGGCCAAAGATAGACAACTCAATGGAGCAGGAAATTTGTGAAATCAGAATACATGCAGGAGATAAGCCCTTTATCTGCCTCCTTGCAGAAATCTTGATGCAGTACAGAGTCACTGTTGATGGCAGTAGTTTACATAAGACATAGTGAATAAATGCTAACGCTTTGGAAGAACTGTAGTTCCTTTTATTGGACTTTGAAAGTCATAACATTATTCTATAAATTAAGATGTGCTTTGTATATTTTGGATCTTAGTCTATCTTCTTTATAAAGAATCGAGTGACTCATAAATCCGTAAAATGAGCTGATCCTAAGTATCAAAATTGAGTTTGAACTGTACCTCTGAGCTTATTGCACTGAAATACTCATTGGTGTACTAAACATTTTATGTGTCCCAAGTCATAAGTCCTTTATTTGCAAGATATATTAAAAGCTGACTCATCATTCTGCCTTTGGTTTCTGCCTACTACTTTCTGCACCAAACTTTCTCTACTTTTTATTTTACAAACATTTTGTTTTCTGTTCATATCATGGTCTTTATAAATTTATATGCAAGGAGAACCTCCTCCTGTTCTCTCTAACAAAAATAAAATCTAAAGTGAGACTAGCTGCAATTACATTCGTTATTGATCTCTGTGCTGGTATACCTCCTGAAGCAAACATACGCTGATCGTCTTCATAATCATGATATGTGTTTCACAATTTGGGTAAAAGCTCTGGCTATCACTGAACACCAATCATACTTCCTCACATCTAAAAACATTGCAAGATCACAAAAGAGAACGTTCCCCTCTCCTTGTGAAGTTGTGCCTGGCAAATTAATTAATAGATAGCTGCAGTCAGCTTTTGTACAGAAGCTGTAAACACATGTGAGATGCTGTCCAAAGGTTAAAAGACCAATAGAAAGTAAAAGAATTTCTGGACTGAGGAGCTGAGCCCAGAAATGGAAAAGGACAACCAGCACAAACATTTTGTAGCATACACAGATTGTGCCATGTATTTACAATCTAAGTTCAGCAAGCATCCTTCATAATCATGCCCATAAAATGTGATTGTTCAACTTGGCACATACGCATACATAAACCAGCTGAGAAGGTATGCCTGTCATCTGACCTTAACAGTTGAATGCCACTCCTGTATTTGCGCTTTTATAGCATACCTTTGAAATTGTAGCCTCTGTATGTCCTGGTCAGCTCTACATCGTTTTGCTAGCTCAAGGAATATCACTTGCACATTGTCAATGCCAGGATCTATCATCCTTTTATTTCTCCTTGCATTATCTGTCCTAACATTTAATTGCATTTCCTCTGCTTGCTTATTTTAAGTAGCTCCTTCCTTCCCCTTTGATAGCTTCTCTGCAGACTTTCTTCCACGCACATGCTCTTCTCACTGATTTGATGTTACTTAAAACTTCCCTCTTCCTAAATTGTAAAAATTCTTAATTATTAAATAGGATATAAGCAGAAGTACATTCCTGCACTTGATTTCTTTTCTGAAACACCTCCTTTACAGCATTGCTGTGTTTTGTATTAAAACCACACTTACTGCATTATATTTCAATGACTTTTCAGTTAGGTAAATTCCAGAACGAATGCTTCTGATACCACATACACCCTCCCACACCATCTTTATCTACACTTGCATCCTTTCTTTTCACTGATTCCTGCAGTAGAGCTTGTATCCTTTGCTGAAAAACTAAATCTAACACCTCCCTATGTTCTGATCAGATGTACTATTTCAAAGAGGATGTTATTTCACTGGTAGTTCATATGAACCTTTTGGCGATGTTCCATTAGTACTTCATAAAAGTGCAAAAATTCCATTAATACTTCATAATTTGTAAATGTCTACTTTTTTCTTTCCATACTTTAAAGTAAATACTTGTTTGCCCTTATAATTTCTGGTCCTGTTCAGATTGAAGCAAATGTAGTACCACATGTTTACCCAGGATATGTTCCTCCATTTCTGCCCCTCTCCCACACACCCTAGGGATCTGATTAAAGGAATTTTGGAAAAAACATTTGGATAACTACGCTTCATCACACACACACAAAATAAATTATGCAACTTCCCTCCTCACCCTCCACAAAACCAAAAAAGACCCTGCAAAGAGATTCAAAAGCACAATATACTTGATAGGACAGTATCAGCTACAGCACATTTAATAGACGGAAGAGGAAAGATGGGGAAGTAGGAGAAGGGAGGTTAAACTGCTTCGATATTAATGAACACTGCATATAGGGAGGGAATGGCAAGTGCTAGTGTATAAAAGTAACAAGACTTATTTTGAGTATATATGAAGGAGTAGAACATGCAGCAAAGACATTACTCATTATTAGAGCTTGCTGAATTTATTTTCTTTTAAATCACATGACTTTTTCAATGGAGAATTATATTTTTAACCAGTTGTGTGCATTACTGAGTTTTCATCAGGAAAAGAAGGAAAAGAACTAGGTACTTCAGCTTGGCTTGATCTAGGAAGAGATGTTCTGGTTTGTAGAACTGAACCTAAACAAACAGTTTGATATTAACCCTTGTATCCAGTCCAGAGACTCAGAGATGATGTATCTAGTCACGCAGACAAGCCCCTGGTGCATCACACAAATTGTAAGTATAAGCATAACAGCAGAAGTAGTCTCCTCGAAGGACCTAGTCCATGAAGGATGATGGGATAAATAATTAAAATTTCTGCTTCCAGGAGGCATTGTGCTACTGCTAGCAGATGCATTCTAGTATCACAGTAACTGCATTTTGTTTCACATGTTCCAAACAAATTTTTTTTCGGAACTTTTTCTTTTCATCTGAAGTTTGAGACAAAGCCATATGTTAAAATATTTGAATTTCCTGTGAAATGGAAATTCTGACATTTCTTCCTCCCCTGCAGAGTTTACCACTAAGGAGGAAAAGAACAAGCACCAATTACTGGCCGAGTAAGTTTCATTTATCAACCAATTGGCATTGAGGTCAAAGCGTACATGTTCCCCCACAAAGACGACCATGACATGGACATATTATGTCACAATGTATTACACAAAACAACTTTATAAGAAATACAATATTTTCTGAAGAACAATACTCTTCTACAGACTGGATGGTAAGGGCCTCTTTCATGTGGAATACTATTCCTTTTAGAAAGGTTTTAAATTGATAGAAACACTTATACTCCAGCATCCTGCACATACAGGCACAGAGAAACTCTGAATGTAAATATGAACTTTGGGAAAAGATTCATTTCTCGTACCTATTCACATAAACCTATTCACACAAATTTACACCCTCAATAACTTTGATCTGTGCTATACCACAGGAATTCACATAAAAATCTCTCATTTTTTTGTCTCAGACACTTTGCCACATGATACTTTCAAGTATCTCAGACGTGTTTTGAAATTATAATTTTTACATCCACTAGATATGCCTTCCAGCTCTAGAGACTGTTATTAAAAAAAAATTTCAGTAATTTGGGTACCTGTTGAATTACACTGAAGATGCAGAAAGGTAATTTGATCTATGGTTTCTCTAGGCTGTGCCACATGGCAGAAATCCATTTTTGATGAGTGTTTTTTCTCCTTTCTGAGAAACACGAAGTTCCTTCTTTCTCCTATCTACCATGTTCTTGGTGGGTCTGTGTCACACTGACCTGACACCAAGCTCAGAAGAACCACATAAAATGCTCCTTCAAGTACAGAGAAACTGGTTTGTACAAAGTCCACAGATATTTTTTACATGAGTGTCGAGTACAATGGCTCTGCATCCCTCTTGCAATGGTTTAGATCTTAGCTTAAACAGTGTTTAAAGAGCTGCTTTCTTTTCAGCTTAGAGTGAGTGCCAATCTTCATACTCATACAGGCACATGTCCAACTCTTCGTTGAGTGTCTTGCTGCAAGAATCTATTGTTTTTTGTCTATTTGCTTTTGTTCCCTCAAATGGTCATTTTTCAAGTTCAAGGTAGCAAGTTATGGGGTTTCTATGGAAATTTTTCTTCAGCACTCCAGAAAACATATTTTGCTGTAGTTAACCACTATATACACTTGATACAGTACATTGAATTTCAGGTGCTATGTTCAAGGACATCTGCTGAGAGTAAAGCACTTATCTTTCCTTCACCTTATTATCCAGTGGAAAGAAAGTCTTGCTATTGCAAATGGTAAGTATCTAAAAGAAGGTAGAATTGGATCACTTGTTGTTTACATGTTTTTTAGTGATATAAAACACTGACTGTGGTACAAGGTCTCCAGAAGCCCATACATGTCTAAATCCTAGCGTGTTGGTTTGCAGTGTTTAAAACATACTTTACTCAGAATTCACACGCTTTTATGAAATTTCATTCTATTGTAATGTTTTTTCCAGTGTAACCAAGTGCTGGATTTTTAAAATGTAGTTGGTAGAAAATCTGCATTGATCATCTGATAATATCTTTTGACTTCAGATTCCTATGCTGAAAATCTGAAAAGATTTCAATCATGTAGCTGTGATCT